CTGGTTTTTACTCTCCTGTCCCTAGAGCAGCGTGATGGTCCCCGGTGGCAGCTCCGGGCGTCACACCTTCCCTAGCAGCAGGAGGAAAACTGTGTTGTTGTTCATCGTTAAAAGACTGCCCAAAGGTCCCATGCCACACAGCTGACATAACCTGGTCAGACGGCCACGCGTACTACAAGGGCGGCAGAAACCCGGGGTTTCAGGCGGCATTGTGTCCACTGAATATTCAGTTGAAATAGCAAAGAATGGATATTTGATTAGCTGTAACAGTCTGGGGCCTGGGAAGATGATGTGGAACTAATTCAATCAGCCAGACTGTGTTCAAAATAACAGATTACCAAAGGTGCATGTACACTTCTTGAAAATAGAGTTCTTTGGCTAGTAGGCAAAGATTTAACACTTTTAAATCCTGTCTTATTCTTCCTAGGTGGAGTGTGTGTGTGTGTGTGTGTGTGTGGGTGTTACTAAGGATTGAACCCTTAGTGCTTTTGCACTGACTACATCCCCAACCACTTTATTTTAAGATAGGGCCTTGCAGAGTTGCCCAGGCTGGACTCAAACTTGAATCCTCAGCCTCCCAGAATATTTGGACTATAGGCAAGTGCCACCATGCCAGGCTCTTACTCTTATGAAGAATAAATAACTCTTAGACTCAGCAAGTCTCCCTCTTACGTGTAAATGTGACTATGTTGATTTGACCTGAATCACTACCAGGTGAAATTGCTGTGCTTGTGATTTTAAGTATCTTGTCATTCAGCCAAGCGTGGTGGCGCACGCCTGTAATCCCAGCACTCGGGAGGCTGAGGCAGGAGGACTGTTGCAAGTTCAAGGCCAGCCTGCGCTACATAAGTGAGTTCAAGGCCAGCCTGAACTGCATAGTGAGACCCTGTCTCAAAAAGACAAAAAAAAGAGTATCTTGACATTCATTAATATTCAGATTATAGAAAAGGGCAGACCGCCAGGCGTGGTGGCGCATGCCTGTAATCGCAGCACTTGGGAGGCTGAGGCAGGAGGATCATTGCAAGTTCGAGGCCAGCCTGGGCTACAAAGTGAGTTTAAGGCCAACCTGAACTGCATAGCGAGACCGTGTCTCAAAAAAAGACCAAAAAAAAAAAAAAAGAAAAGGGCAGATGAAAAGATCAGTTCTATTTAGACCAAAGCCCAAACAGGCCACAAGGCATTTGCTTATTGTCCTAAAATACTCTAAGGCTATGAGTAGGGCATTACGGTGGGAACAGCAAGGGCTTTGGAGTGAGTCAGACAAGAATTCCAAGCTTAGATCTTCTCCTTTCTGGCTGTGTGATCTTGGATAAAGGTAATCATTAAGAGTCTCAATTTTGTAACTGCAAAGGAAGCAAATAATTCCTATTTGCATGTTATTATAAAGATTAAAAATGCGTTTCTGACAAACGTAGTAGGTGGGTAGCGTAGTGGATAATAACCAGCATAATCACAAGTGTTAATCTTCAGCTGTAAGCCATTTGTTTCCTCCCAGCTCCTGGTACGTACGGAGGTATAACTGAAGATTCGTAGACGTTTGCTGGTCCTTAGGTTCCTCCTAACCCAGCGTGGTCCCTGTTTACAAAGGCTGTATCTGTTCGTGATTGCGCCTCACAGTCAGCCCTACCTCTTCACTCAAAATGAACCATCCCTGCCTCCAAACCCTTCATCCGCATTACTTTGTCCAAACCCATCTTCCTCTTGATGGTTTTTACTGTTGATACCACACATGGAAGTGGAGGAGTTGGTGCCTGGGGCAGTTCAGGCAGTGTGGGTTTGCGACCTGGAGCAGGCAGAATGGTCTTGCAGTAGCATGGGATAGTGTTATTAAGCAGATATAGAAAGATAAACATGGTTTATGCTTCATTATACACCCCAGAGTGATAATGCAATAAGTTAAATTCCACAGATGCTTCTGAAATGCTGTGTGTGAGGAAAACTAGCCAGTGTGTCAGACGAGTGCAAATAACCCCAAGGTTCTTCCTTTACACTCCCCAGTGGCTTCTTAAGGGAGAGTAGCCTCTGATATGTCCGGACCAGCCCTGCAGGAAGAGGACAGAGCATCTCGAGGCAGACTCAGTGGAGTCAGAACTTTGAGGTACAGACCTTGAGTAATGAGGTCTTTAAAGTCTAGGGTAGGGATCAGCACATTATGGCATGTGAGACTGTTTTTGTATGAACCACAAACTGTGAGTGGTTTTTACATCTTTAAAGGGTTGTGAAAAGAAAGAAAAGAAAAAGCAAAAATTACACTGTACATTTCCCAGTTGTTTAGAGTAAGTTTCAGATGTTCTCACCACAAGATATGGTAAGTACGGTATATGAGGTACTACATATGTTAACTGGCTTGATTTCTGTATTCCACATTGCATTCATAAATCCTAATATCATTTTGTACCTCATAAATGTACAGTTATAAATTAGCAATTTATATGTAAATGTAAAAGAATATATGGCCTAATTATGTGGCCCACAAAGCCTTAAATACCTACTTTTTGGCCCTTCACAGAGAGTTTGCTGATTCCTGATCCACAGGCCTTTGCTGAAGCCCGCAGCAGGTTCGGATATCTGATTTGAATCCCAGGGTAGGCACCAGCAGAAAAGAAATGTCAGCATCAATGAAGAATAGATTTCTCTTTCTCCATTCTGAGAGTTCTGGAGACCTGGCCAACTAACCCCATGCTGAGGAGTTGCTGCTGGACTAGAAAGAGTGAAGGCTTGTGTTGGGTTTTACAGTATCGCCTTTGTTCTAACTGAGCAATGGCATATGTCCCTTCAGTAGCGTTGCCTTCTCAGGACGCAGGCTAAATCCAGTGTGTCCTGCTGCTGAGTGTTGTGTCAGTGTGGTACCAGCCCAGGTCAGTGTCCTGGGCGGGCCTCTGCATGCAGAATTAGGTTTGGGGCTCCTGGATAGAACAAGGCGTGAATGCTTGCGTGTTTTACCTTCTCTGCTGCATGCTAGTGGAAAGCGATACTTATATCTAGGCAAGCAGAGTCCTGTTTTACTTGCTCTCAAGCCAGATGTGGGGATTCTGGTTCTGAAAGAAGGACACTGAATTTTGTGGACAGACCAAGCCCATTTCCCAGCTTGGCCGCTGTGACCTAGAAGACAGGAAAACTCAGAAGGCCAGGGCGCTCTTCCCGTATGCCTTCTGAAATACTTAGTTCAAAGACTTAATAGCATTTACATTTCCTCTTATTTCTTTTTATTCTCCAAATGTTTCCCATGCCACATCACCAGAAAATGAATACAGCTGGACCCTCTCCCAGGTGATAAACCAAGCTTAGCGCTCGCCCAGGCAACTCGCCCCAGCTGACCAGCAAGTGGGAGGAAAAGCAAGGAACGAAGGCAGTGTCACCCTTGGGCACCCTGCCGCCATCCTTGGCACGGGCAGCTTGCAGGTCGAGCTGAGATCACACCCCTTTATCACCAGTGATCGGATCTGGTTGTCTCTGGGGCTACATTGTTCTGGCGACCAGTGAACAAGCCTCGAATGAGAGGAAAAAATACATTGAATGGCGGTTTCCTGACTGGTCTTCGTGCCAGAACCCTCGCTCCTGAAGCGTGAGTAGTTGTGTCACCGACAGCGGTTCGAGGCGGCGCGAGGCAGAGGTGCGGCGGTCCTGTTACTGTGCGAGGCCACTTGCTTTGCGCAGCCGCATTCCTACCTGGTGTGTGGTACATTGCTGTCATTCCGCAGCGGGCCAGTCAGCATCTGTTTACACCGGCCGTCCAGCTGTCAGCCTCCTCACGCTCCTGTCTGCCCGCTGGGTCCAATAGGAGTCTGTGTCGGGTGCTGCTTTGGGGGAGACGATTGGACAGCCTAGAGCTCCAGGTGCTGTGGTCAAGGCGCGAGATCCCTGGGGCCTCCTTCTCTAGGCCTTGGGGGTGAAGGAGCTTTCCAGAGCCATTATCTGGGCACGGGCTCCTGGCCAGATGAGGCTGGCTCCTTGGCGGTTCAACCCCATGTCCAGGGAGGAAGCTCAGATTTGCAAGGAATTTGATGTACTTGCTAAAAGCCATGCAAGTCAGTCGAGGACCCGTCTCACCCAGGCTACCCATCCTTTGTCTGAAATCTCTTACAGAGCTCCGCCAGACAGATTCCTTCGCTGTAGAGCCTACAGCTCGCACTGAGGCTGTTCCCGCTCGGTTAAGTGGCGGCCTGGCCGTTCAGGTCGTTTCAGTGCAACAGTTTGTGAGTGTGTATCTGTGTGTTCCCCGACCAAAACAATGCGCTGGAATCTTTCACAAGGTCTCCCCGCCTCAACAGAATGCTGTGAGCAGCAGCTTTCAATTTTCAGCCCAGCTGGTCCCAAAGATTTGGGACTAGACAGCTGGGTATGAGAACTAGCTTTCCCCCTTCCCCTTCCCTGTTTCTGTCATTACAGAACTGTTTTTAACAAAGCTAGTTTCCTCCAGAATCAGCTTAGCAACCTGGAGAAGCCTAAGGCCGCTCCTATAGGAGGGAAGCTGCCCTACATTTGGTCAATAACCAGTAGAACTTGATACTGACGCCAGAGTGTAAAAATAAACACCTCCCACAGTTCTGTCTTAATCCCTTGGCATCAGAGTTGCTATTATTAGTCTGTAGTCTCACAGGCAGCTGTGACGGACAGACAGCAGCCTGGATAGACCTATCCTGCCATCTTGGGATCAGACAGTTCCTCTCCTCACCTGCTGGGATCCGATCTGGGCCTCAGGAGAAGCACCACCAGTGTGGGAGTGTGTCCTGCAACAGGTGACAGGAGAGAAGGAGTAGTGTCTTTGGTCTAGAAAAGGCTGAGGCTCCCAGGGCCAGGTACCAGTCCGGAGTGTAAGGGCCGTAGCGTAATTGATTCAGGCCTAGCTCTGGGCACAGGAAAAAGGAATACAACTTTTTTTTTTTTTTTTTTTTTTTTTAACCCCTCCCGCCCCACAGTACTAGGCCCAGGGCCTTACACCTGCCAAGTGTTTCACCACTGAGCTACTCCCCAGCCTCTGTGTGTGTGTGTGTGTGTGTGTGTGTGTGTGTGTGTGTGTTACCAGAGATTGAACCCAGAGCCCTCACACTGAGGTACATACCCAGATGTTTTTTCACTTTCCCTTTGGAGGCAGGATTTCATTGAGTTGCCCGGGTTAGGCTTGAACTTGCAATCTACTGGCCCCCCATCTCAGAGTGCTGAGATTATAGGTGTGCACCACCATGCCTAGCATTTTTGACTCTTTTAAAGAATTTTTGCTTGCAAATTTTCTTGACCTGGAACCTTTAGGTTTTCTGGAAACTGGGAAAGAAGAGTTGAAAGGACTCCATTGATCATCTGCCAAAGATATACTAATAAGAATAATAAGAATAAGAATAATAACAACTTCATACTGAACACATCATGTGGTAGGTTCTATATATAGTATCTTAGTTCTACCCCAAGCCTTTGAGGGAAAATGTCATGACAGTTTTACAACTGAAGGATCTGAAGTTTGAGAGGTTAACTGACTTCCTAAAGTTCCTTAGCTGGCAGGCTGTGTCAGGTTTGAATGCAGGCTCATTTTAACACCAACTGTGTGATATGCACTGTACATAGTATGAGAGTTATTTATTTATTTATTTATTTATTTGTGTCTTTTTGAAACCCGGTTTCCCTAAGCAGTTCAGGCTGGTCTTGAACTCACTTTGCAGCCCAGGCTGGCCTCAAACTCATAGCGATCCTCCTGCCTCAGCCTCCTGAGTGCTGGGATTACAGGTGTGAGCCACCATGCCCAGATGCTATCTGCTTTTAAACTTTCTGTTACTCAGTTTAGTCCTATAACTAAAGCAAATACAGTCACTGGTACATAGAAATGCTCTTTGCTATCACCTGCTAGTGAGGCCATCCCAGTGCTCCTGCCAAGTACAGTGAGCTGGACTCTCGAGCTGTCACCTACGGTCTGTTGGAAGATAAGGCACCTCCCCAAGAAAGCTGTGACTCCAGCAGAGGAGTCTCGGGTGCCTGCACCGTGGAGAGCATGGCCAGATTGGAACTTGGTTCCCTAGGGGAGCAAGGCTTTGACGGCCTCTGGCAGGCATGCTGAGGGAGGGGCAGACCTGAGTGGAAAGATTTCCTTGAAAGGCGGCTAGGCTTCTTCCCTCTGTTGCCTGCCTCCCCCACCCTGGCCCCACAACTGGCTGTGTAATTCAATCTAGATTCTTCTCATAGCCTGCTCCTCTGTACATATGTGCCCTTTTATTTACAGCTTTGGAAACCCTGATTGGATGGTGGCTTACCAGCCTACATGCTACTTCAGTCCTCTGTGCGGGGAAGGGGGAGAGGAGAACACTGACTGCTTCCTGGAGCCCAGGAGCCACGGGATAAGCAAGGTGTTGGCCACACTGAGCAAGCCAGGGGCAGCTTAGGGGCCTTTTTGTTCCTGCTGACTTCTTCCTGCAAATACATGCGCGCCACCCGCCGAGCAAGGCAAGCTGTGCCATTGCTGTCAGCGTTCCCCGGCGCACTGTCTGCTGCTGGTGGTCTGCTCCCTTGCTGCTGTCCGACAGCTAGCGCTGGGAGGCTTCATCCTGCCGGTCGCATTCCCGGCTGCATTCGCTGTCCCCTCATCCGAAGAAGTCAGTCTGTCAAGGTAGGAGCTCAGTCTTCCTTAGCTCCCTGTAGCCCTTCTCTCTCTCCCAGCCTACCTCCTCGAAGGAACTGGAATACAGCAAAGTCTCAGTCTCTAGAAAGGTGTAACTGTAGCAGGTAGAAGCCGTGCACATGGGCGTGCAGGTGTGCACGTGCATCTGTACCTGTTGGAGTGCGAAGGACGCGGCGGAGGGCCCTGACCAACACCTCGCGCGGGAACCGTCCCTGGGCTTGGATTTCAGTTTGACTTGTGTGTGAGTAGGCCCGAGAGGAGTCAGAGGTCGCTGCGTCTGCGTGAGCTCCTGCCTCCAAACGGGTCACAGGTTGAGCTAAGGCGGGGGTCAAAGGTTGGCCATTAGGAGAAGGCAAACATTCACGGTCCAGATCCGTGGAGCAGGTTTCTTCCTAGATACAGTATTTTTTGAGCGCGAAGAGACCCTGTGACAAAGCTAAGTTTTATTATTATCCTCAGATCTTACGCAGAGAAGGTAATGACTCTGAGCACAGTGAGGGCCGGGGCTTCTCGCCTGCTCTTTTCTGGGTAGAACCTCCCAGTGCTGCAGTGTGTTCGTTGATTCGGGCATTGGGAACTTAAAGCACTGCTGCGCCTGCGAGGTAAAAGGCCTGGAACCTCCTGAGAGTCTTCCCCGGCTGTTCTCTGTCCCGGGGCCTTGCAGGAGGGCGCGGGGGTGGGGCGGGTAGGTTGGTGGCGGGGATTGAACCCAGGGCCTCGTGCACGCTGGGGAAGCACTGCACCACTCAGCCACACCTCGGCCCTTTTATCTGCTGTTTGTTTGGTTTTGGATATGGGGTCTCAATGAGTTGCCCAGCCTGGCCTCAAACTTGAAATCTCACTGCCTCAGCCCCGCGCTGGTGTGCAGCACCATGCCTGCCGCAGTGTTGTTTTCAAAGGCGCCTGCGTATTTCCAGGTCATAGGGAGAACGCAGGTGTGGGGAAAGGAAGGGGTAGTGACACCAAGGGGGCTAGGAAAGAGCCCATTCTGCTTCCAGGCCGAGCCTTTTCCAGAGTGTTTGTAAACTGACTTTTAGAGGTAGACTTTTAGCTGAACTTGTCTCCAACATGTCAGATGCCGAAAGCAGAGCAACTTCTATGCTTGGAAAGAGGATACTATATTAGGGAAGCCTAATAAGGAAGCAGCTGGTGTGTCTGGGACAGCCCTGTAGGCGAGGCCCCTTCTAGCACACTCCCAGCATGCTGGCCAGCCTCACTCGGCCTCCAAAATAACACAGAACTCGTGAGGAACAGGAGCCTTCTCAGCTAGAAGCAGCCACACTCTACCCTGAGGAAGGACAGACAGCCTCCTGGGCGCTGGCTGCCGTGCGTTCCTGTGGAATCGGACTCCTGCAGCCTCGGCCAGGTGTGCTGAGACATCTCACGGCTTTGTTTGTTCTCTTTGCAACTCAGCCCCAGACACCAGCAGGAATCACTGCTCGCACCATTTCTTAAATCTCCACATTCTTTCAGCATCTCTCTCGTGTTTCAGAGCGAAATACTTGCCTTGCAGGAGACTCAGCGCCTCTGTCTCATCTCATGTCCTCCGGTTACGTAGACCCTCAACAGGGTGAGGGGTCAGGCTGGCTCTCCCGAATTCACGTACAGCGCAGCTTATTTCTGTTCTGGGAAGCTAAGTTTGCTGTTAGTGAAGTTAATATCATTTGATGAACACTTGGTTTCAGAGCCATAAAGAAGGAGAGAAGCGTAGCTGATCACACGCATCTGACTCTCCTTTCTCCAGGGTCTGTCGCGGAGCAGTGCTCCGGCCCGGAGGAGGGGGTTTCTATCAGTCGGTCATCTTTTCACTCCCCAAACCGTGCTCAGCCCTGCTTGTGCCTTTGCCCAGAGGGTTCCACAATTTCTTCCTCTAAACTGGAGAATCTTTCGGAGGTGCTTTTCAGGGCCCCACAGGGAGAAGAGGGAGTGGATATGGGGCTTGAGGCATTCACTCCCTGTGTCAGTCAGGGTGGCTCTCTTTTCCCGGTAGGGGCTGAAAATTTTGAAACCACTGTTTTAACCTTTGTCTCCCATTGTGAAACAAATTCCTGGCTGTCCTGCCCCAACCCAGAGGCGCTGACAATTTCTTTTTTTTTTTTTTGCCTTTTTGAGACAGGATCTCACTACACAATTCAGGCTGGCCTGGAGCTCACTTTGTAGCCCAGGCTGACCTCAAACTCCCCAAGATCTTCCTGCCTCAGCCTCCCCAGTGTTGGGATTACAGGTGTACACCACCAGGCCTGACTCACTGACAATGATTTTGACTGAATTACTGAGTCCTTCAGGTTGAGTATTACCCCTGAACATCAGCCAGTGCCACCCACAAGAATGCAGTGTATACTCATCGCTTGAGTGATGGATTAATGGGCTCACAAGAGCATATTAACCAACAGCCTCTGGATACTTCTAGATCAGAACAGAGTATAGTTTACCATAGTGTATTTTGGTTTGTTTCATTTGAGCATTTCTGATCTTTGCTACTGGGATGAGCCAATCCAGGCTGAGGGGAAAACCCGGCCAGCCATGGGCTGTTGCTGCAGTAGCAGATGCCTGGCTAGGCCAACACAGACAGAAGTGCTGCTTCTTGATTTCCAAGAGAGTCCAGGAGGTGGAAAGTCAGCAGACTACAGAGAAAGACCAGGGACTGAAGCTTACTGGGGTTGCACCACCTGGTCCTTTGTAGCACTGGTGCTTTTCCTGAGAACTACCTGCCTCACAGAGTCCGGAATGCTCGTTGTTTTGGCCGTGGGCGCTGCAGGTGTCGTGCTGTTAACTGCTCTTAGCGGGTGTCTCCGACGCTGCTCATCTGCAGCACTCAGAGCACATCTGCCCGGGCTGCAGGGGGCTCGATTTTGTTTTTATCTAACATGTTTCATAAAAGCTATAATGTATTGTTTTGATAGTCAAGTAACAGCTACTTAGTAGGAAAATTGGTCAAATTTAGAATAAAGTCTGAAATTTTGTTCATGATAGTGTACTCAGTGTTCATACCTTTATTTTAACAAAAGTGCCGTGGTTATGAAGATGCTGACATTAGGACGATCGAAGGACGTATGGGAACACCGTACTTGCTTTGTAACTACTCCGTAAATCTAAAATCAGTAAAAATATTTAAGTTTTAGAAATTTGTATATAGCAATAAAGGCCTTCACAATGAAAAAGAAACCAAATAGTACCAAATCGGGAATAATCTGAACATCTAATCAGTAACTGCCAGGCGTGGTGGCGCACACCTGCAATCCCAGTACTTGGGAGGCTCAGGCAGGAGAATCATTGCGAGTTCGAGGTTAGCCTGAGCTGCACAGTGAGATCCTGTCTTAAAAAAAAAAAAAATCAGTAACATTAATAGATTATGATACACTAAATTTCTTTTTAAAAAGATCCCATATTTATACAAAATAAATGAAGGAAGGAAAAGGAAAAATCTTTCTTACATTAAAATGCCAATTAATAAAATGTAGAAGGAAGCCAGGCATGGTGGCACACGCCTGTAATCCCAGCACTCGGGAGGCTGAGGCAGGAAGATCATTGTGAGTTCGAGGTTAACCTGAGCTGCATAGTGAGACCCTGTCTCAAAAAGACAAAAAAATAAATAAAATAAAATAAAAGGTAGAAGGAATAATAGAAAATTACCATCTTTCAACCATCATAGTAAATAGTTTAGATGATAATCAATGGATGCTAAAAAAATTGGATGAAAATTTGATGGGGACAGGATATTCACACAGTCTAAAAGTAATCTCCTCCTAGGTTGCTTGTGACAAAGGAAAACATGGTGACTTTATAGAGGAGAAGTTCTATCTTTACAGATAGAACTTTACTATCTTAAAGTCCAAAGTTAGTATCATCAATAAATTGACGAAATGACCTCATAAGTTAGTTTTGTTTTGTTTTGTCTTTTTCTGCCTGTATCTGAATCTCCTAGACTCCTGTTTCCTGTTTTGGTATATTCTTTGTTCCTTATATTAGAGACCCTCCTCAAAAGTCTGATAATCCTTGCGTGGCTACTGATTTGTATTTAAGAATGAAGCATGAAATGTTGTGGATTTGTATCTTTTCTTGGAAATTTTTCACGTGATTCTGTTGTTACTTCAACCTGCTCAAGTCCCAAACAGATTCTTCTCCTCTTTGGCCCTAACTTTATCCATGTATAACTCTCAGAAAAGAGGAGTTTCAAGCCTTTTTTTTTTTTTTTTTTTTTTTTTTTT